ATGACAAGATAAGCAGTTTTACAAAACAGTCCAAACGCTATTTCACATCCTGCTTCCTCCACTGAAAATGCCTTGGCAAAACATCTGACCCAAACACTGTTCCCAGTACCGAGAACCTGTTGTTATGACGAGCTATGTTTTAATTATGTGTGATCGATGTACGTCCCAGTTTTGCCAAGCTTTGTTCCCTGCTCGGTGTCTTGTCACTCCACCTGCACAGAAACGAACTGGAGATCTGAGAGGGGTTGCAAAGCTTTGTATAACTCCAGAAGAAGTAGCAGAAATACCAAATACAAGTGGAATTCTCGGTTCTTGCCAAAGTGTTTTGGAGACAACCTATACACTCTTGCAGGAAGGAGGATTTTGTAAATATCCTGATCATTTTTAGAATTGTGTATGGGTGTAACTGTTTCGCAGCTGATAGACTGGTGCAGTTTTGCAATAACAAGCCTAAAATGGCAATGTAAGTAGTAACTTGCAATAAGGTTTTAGCCAGCTTGTTGTGGTGACCAGTTGAGTCTATATATATCAAGATAAACTTTAGCATGAACATCCTCAGAGACAAGTTGATGGGGTATGGGCTATATAAGTAGACAGTGAGGTGGACTGAGTAGTGGCTGAGCTGCTGGGCTCAGAGGGCAGTGATCAGAAGAGCCAAGTCCAGCTGGAGATCAGTCACTGCTGGTGTCTGGCTGTGGTTGGCACTGGTTCCTGTGCCGTTTAACTCTTCATTAATGTCCTGTTTGATAAAGCAACATGCACCCCCAGCAAGTTTGCAGGTGGCTGATGCACCAGATGTCTCTGCCACCATTCAGAGGAACTTGGGCATGCTGGAGGATTGGGCAGACAGGAACTGCATAAAGTTCAACAAGAAGTGCAGAGTCCTGCACCTGGGGAGGAGCAACCCCATAGCTGTGGTCTGACCAGCCTGAAAGCAGCCTTGCACACAATGATGATGTGGTCATGGTAGACAAAAAAGCTGAACATAAGGCAGCAATGTACCCAAGCAGCAGAGACTGCCAATAGCTGTGAGGACTGCATTAGGAGGAATGTTGACAGCAGGTCGAGGGAGGGGATCCTTCCCCTCTACTCGGCACTGGTGAGGCCACATCTAGAGTGCTGGGTGCAGTTCTGGGCTCCCCAGTGCTAGAGAAACATGGACATAGTGGAGTGAAGCTTGTGGAGAGACACTAAGGTAATTAAAGGACTGGTACACCTATCATGCAAGGAGAGGCTGAGAGAGCTGGGACTGTTCAGCCTGGAGAAGAGAAGGCTCAGGGGGATCTTATCATCTATCTGGTGGGAGTGTTTGATGGAGATGGAGCCAGGCTTTTCTCAGTAGTGCCTGGTGGCAGGACAAGAGGCAATGGGCACACACTGAAACACAGGAAGTTCCACCTGAACACAATAAAATGGTTTTTTACTGTGAGGGTGGTTGAGCACTGGAGCAAGTTGCCCAGAGAGTTTGAGGAGTCTCCTGTGGAGATGCTCAAACCTGACTGGACGCAGTCCTGGGCAACCTTCTCTAGCTAACCCTGCTTTGAGCAGTGGGGTTGGGCTAGGCAGTCTCCAGACAGTCTTCCAACTTCAGTATTCTGTGATTCTGTGAATCAGAGCCTTTCTAAGCTACTTCAGCCTGTTTATCATGAGGGGAAAGGAGAGATCCAGGAGAGAAGAAAAGAATGCAGTGTGATGATTTGGGATTACCATCAAAGTTGCAAGTCAAAGGTCTGGTCTGATCTGAGTAACCATTTAACATCATTAGGCCCTCTCTGCAGAGGTGCAATATTCTTCACTAGCCAGACTGCTTAAAAGGCTCACTGGTCTGGAAACCTGTGCAGAGAGGTACCACATCATCTCATCACTGCCCAGGGTGAGCTGGCTGGAGTAAAGGTGAAATATTTAGGTTGGCGGCAGGGGAGAGGTTTTAGCTGAGAGGATCAGAGCTGGCCAGCTGGTGAAGAACCTTCTGGCAAAGGAGATGTGACTAGAGCTGGAGGGTCGTGTGGTGGCAAAAAGGCTGCGTGGCCCTTGGCCATAGGGGCCTGTAGGAGTACCCTCCTACCAACACTTTCTGCTGGGTCTGAGGAGCCCCCAGGAAAGATGACAGCTGGAGCTGTCAGTAAGATGCAGCTGGAGGAGTTTCCCTGGCAGGCTGCTTACAGAGAGATCATCCCTCTTTTGGGGTACAGCTCAAACTTGGCCTGCCTTCCTGTTCCTGGTTTCATGGGTCTTGTGTTGGGGGCAGGATTCGTGTGTTGCACAGAGACAGGCTCAGGAGCAGAACTCTGCTCCATCCTGGTTCATTTTCCAGACCAAAACCAAAATACCAAGGCTGATTCTTCTATGTCTGGACTTTGTCATTTCTGCTAACAGTCTTGATTTTCCAAACTGGGAGGGGTGAAGTGGAACCTTGCTGTTACACATTTCAAATGCCTTGCCCCAGTCTTGCCACGTGTTGTGCTATCAGCATTTCAGTTAACCACTTCTTTTTATCAGTCAAGTTCCTTCTTAAAAAAAAAACAAAAAACACCCCAAAAACCAAACAGACCCCTCCCCAACCCACCCTTTGAATAACCGGAAAGGTCAAAAATCAGATTAAAATCTCTTTGACAATAACAGTTGTGGTTTTCTGAGCGCAATGTTCTGTATTTGGTGAACTGAGCTGTCTCAAGCTGGGACAGAAGCTGCTATGGGTCGATAAAATCCCAGAAATGTGATGAGCTAGGTGAGCGTGCTGATCTGATAAAACATGGACATGGTACAGGACAACAGATCAGACACCAGATGGTGGCATGGCAGAGTTGGGAATTATGAATTACGTCAAGCAAAGGTGAGCGTTATGCCAATAGGCAAAACATTTGGTAAAGTGTCTGGCTGTGCCTCTCATTCCCTTGCTTTTTATTATTCTTTGACTTGGGGCACTATTTTATTTTGACAGTGTTGAGGCAGCTTCTTTTGGTTTGACTGTTTGGTTTTTTTTATCAGCAGATCATATCTAAACCCTCTTGTATGAGTCATGCTAAGCATTTCCGCCAGGGTGGAAGAACAGGCTTAGCACACACATGCCCATAGAGGAAAAAAACAGTTCCTAAAATGTAATGTGAGTTTCTTTTCTCAGTCACTTTTTTCAGAGGCAGGACTGATGGCACTTGCTCCCTCACACACTGAAATATCAGCTGCACTCAGGTAGGTATAATAAGCTGCAGAATTCTGCTTTCCTCTTCAACTTGCAATTCCTTATTCTTCACTCCTGAAAAACCTCTCTCTCCCCTCCAGTTCCCCCTTCCATTTTCCTGACCACATAGCAGCCCTTTTAGCACTCTTGACAACACAGCGTGGGCAGTGTCTTCTTATTGATTCATCCCTCGGATTGCTCTGGAGCAGGATTTGTGTTACTGCCTTCACAGCATCCCTTGATTGCCTGTGCCCTTCTTACCATCTTCTGTAGCCACACTGAGAGGGCAGCAAGGTTCAGCTCTTGCAGCCCTGTTCTCCAGTTGCCCCTGCAATGTCGCTTCTGCAGGTTATCAGGAAGACCACAGGAAATGGAACAAACTTGTTAGACTTTTCAGTTGAGCCCCCAGCCGCCTTCCAGTGACTTCTTTCAGAGCTTTTCTTGCAGGTCAAAGCCTCTCAGCAGTTATTACCAAAAAAGTGGTAAATTACAATGTTTGTTACAACTTTATCTCAGTTTCTTTGTGGTGAAGTGATTCTAACACTTACGCATTGCTCCACACTTAGACTGTATGTTATGCAAAAAAAGGTTGATAATTTGGATTATTTTTTTTTAAATAATACTTAGTCCTGCACACAACAGACCCTGACCAGCATTTAAGTACTGGCATTAGAGGTTAAAATGGAATCGGTCGGGGTTCTCTCATTCATGGCTTCTCAGTTGCTTCTGCAGGCTGTATTCAGCTCTTACCTATGCTGTTTCCTTGCATTCTGGTAATGGACCTTTCAGCAGCACAACTGTCTTCGTTGATTCAGTAGGGGTTTAGTTAACAGGGATTTTATAAGCAATTCTGTTAATGCCTAAAGGATGAAGATCAGGCTCTTTTACTCAATTCTATCTTCACTTTGCTAGATTTCCTTTTCTTTCCTTTATAAATTTACTAAGTGCAAGAATAATTGAGCAGTTAAAAGTTTTTCCACTACTATAGTAGTGCATAGTTTTAAAATGCCACTTAAGTACTCTGTGGCTCAGCTTGATTTTCTCGCTATAAGACACCTTTCCTTATACCTAAAATGGCTGAAGAACATTACTGCTATTGCTCTGTATTTTTCGTTTGTTTGTTTTCTACAGCTAAACATCTGTCTGTTCTTCTTATACCATTCATTTCTTACATTTCTCATCATCAAGACTAGCTTTTCAAGAAACCAGCAGAGACTTCAGAGCAAAAGCAGGGAAAAGGAAGTGCTTACTGTGACTTCCCCAAAAATACCCCTTAGAAACAGAGTTGTTATCCTGTCCTCTCTATTTATAGTGTCCAGGAAGAGAGGCAGGGTTATTGCATTAAGACAAGCATTGATTTCTTAACCGAAACAAATTTCACTGGTTATGCCAGGAGAAATCGCTCACTTTAAAGGGAAAAGGAACTAAAATGCTGACTTAACTTTTTGAAGAAGAGATGTGTATACAAAGCGGAAGTCGGTCAGGAAAGTCACTTGGTGACAGCGTGGAAATGTGAACACAGAGTGGAGACTGAAAAAACAGATTGGAATCAAAGGAGATGAGAGAGATAGGAGAACTTAAATGTATACAACCCCCCTGTTTGAATGGTGGGGCTCAAGTAGCTTAGCCACCACGAGAAGGATGAAGGTCTATAATGGTCAGATTAAGCCTTTAGCACAAACTTGTATAGATGATGCTTTTGTACCCTGGCAGCTCTGTACTGTCACCTGTCTCCGAGATGCTTCGGGACAGCTAAAGAGAAGGATGTGGGGAGGAGGGTGCAAATTGCTGACTAACTTGGTTTCTGTTTTCTAGCTGCAGAATGCCTCAGCTCCTGGCTAACAGCAGTTCGCATGAACAGGCTGCTGCGTATTACGCATCAGAATCCATCATCTCCATTGCTATCTTCATTGTCGTTTTCATCATAGGCGTGCCAGGCAATGGAGTGGTGATCTGGGTGGCTGGTCTGAAAATGAAAAAGTCTGTGAATATCACCTGGTTCCTAAACCTTGCCGTGGCTGACTTCATGTGCTGCTTGTCTTTGCCGTTTTCCATTGTCCACCTCCTCCTCCATGAACACTGGCCGTACGGTTGGTTCCTCTGCAAAGTCATCCCATCAGTCATAACCTTCACCATGTTCGCCAGCGTCTTCCTACTGATGGCCATCAGCATCGACCGGTGCCTCCTCGTGATGAAACCTGTCTGGTGCCAAAACCATCGAACGGTGAAATTCGTAACCCTGATACAGAGTTGCATTTGGATCCTGGCCTTCATTTTCTGCTGTCCCATCTTCCGCTACCGTGACACTAGCACTGAGGATGGCAAAACTGAGTGCGGGTACAGCCTTGGCGATGATGAGGCGATAGATTTTATGTATGATTCTGCAAATGCATCGGAGGCCTACTATGGTAATGACTCATGGCAGTACTACTATGAAGATGGTTATTCTGTATCCCTTGCCTTCCTGGTAATAAACATCACCAGGGCCATCTTTGGCTTCGTACTCCCCTTTGGCATCATGGCAGTTTGCTACGCCCTTATTGCCTTCAGAATGTGCACAAATCAGTTTCAGAACCCACGCAACAGGATGCTGCGAACAATTGCGCTGGTGGTAGCTGCGTTCTTCATCTGCTGGGCCCCGTACCATGTAGTTGGGCTTCTGTCCCTTGTACCTACTCTTGGAACAGGAGCGAGGGAGTCCTTGTTCCTCTGGGATCACCTCTCTACAGCCCTTGCATACGCCAACAGCTGCATCAACCCCCTGCTCTATGTTTTTGTGGGACGTGACTTCAGGGCAAAGGCACGGCAATCGCTGCAAGGAATCTTGGAAGGGGCCTTTACTGAGGGACCAACGCATTCAGTCCCTCACACCCTGGACAAAAGCAAGACTTCAACAGAGAAGGACACAAGCAGCACAGTGTAACCCAGAACTTTCGAATCACCGGTGTAAAAAGAGCGAGCTATGGCACTGCACATCCACCACTTTCAACAGCTTTTTTTGCTCCAACACATTTGATTAATCTGCAGATCCATACATGGGATGAGGCACTGAAATGGTTCAGATCAGAACAGCTAACTGCCTTTATATCCTACTCTAGAGAGGTGAGAAGTTGGAATTGCCAAGAGTAATAATCTGAGGGAAGACTCTGGTGAAGCAAGAGACACATTCTTTAAAGAAGCAAGCAGGCTTGCAGAATGATCTGTGGTGGGATCATGTAGTTTAACCTCTGAATCGCTAGATGAGAATGTCATTAGTTATTTGCACATGTCTATGTTCTACATCTCCTGTCTCTAGTAAACCGCAGATAAAACTAACTTTGATGTCTCTCCTTGGAATATGTCATCCCATCTTTCCTCCCCTTTGACTGTTCTTGGGGTCTGAGGGTTTTTCCCCTGAAGATTTCCCCAGAGGGTGGTGCAACCTTTTCTTACAGCAGAGAATTAAAACAGCACTTGCCCCAGTCAGCTGCATCGAACTGACTTTCATGCCCTGGTAGATGCCCAATATACTTCTTTGTCCCAGCAAATACATGACTGTACAGTAGGAACTGGTCCAATGCCCATGCTGTCACTGTGTTCATTAGCGTGCACTCACTTGCTCCCCAACGCGCTTTCCACCACCGGAGTCCCAAATCTTCTTTTTAGGAAGTAGCCCAAGATTATCCAAATGGGCCTACTGCATGTTCAGATGGCACACGAGCAGAATTTGAGCAGCTGCAGTCATCAATGAACCAGATGAGGTGACTGCTGGACTATTTGGTAAAATCTCGGAATTGAGAAGTGATGACCTCCAGTCTGACCCCAAGAAGAGAGAGACTGAGCCTGTTGCAGCACAGCCACGTCCTGCTCTCTCTAAGAGAAGTGCTTCTCGTGTCTTACTGGTAGAGGAAGATAAAAATTTTGTCCAGTCAGACACTTTGGGGGCATTTCCCAAGCACAACTGTTTCCTGCTCCTGAAAAGGAGAAGTACATTTATGAGGTACTTTAAAGGGGTTTAAAATCTGGTTTTTGTGTTAGTCCTTCCTGAAAGGAATGAAGTCAACAAAGGGTATGACAAACGGCCACTGAGCATGGGTAGAGTTTTCACTTTGCCTTTCTGGCAAGCATGGGTTTGCACACTCAGTGCCCCAGTAACTTCCCACTTTCTCCTGACATCCTAAAAAGTCTCAGTGGTAAAGTACACATTTTAACAATGTCCACACCCTAGTTCTGTTCCTAAGGCAAGCAGGTGGGAATCGAGCCTGCCTGATGGGCACCGCTGAAAAAAACCAACCAACAAAAACCAATACTGGCACCAAGAGAGTTAAACCATAAACATTCACTTTTTCTTTTTATTAAGAAAGCATGCACAAAAATAAACTCGTGAGACCACGCCCCTCTCTCCCTGACCACTGACACAAAGCACGGGGGGCACACCACGCCGGGGGGGACCTGCAAGAGCCCTCTCCCTGCAGAGCTCCACGCCACCCACCCGCTGCCTTCCCACGCACTAACAACGCACATTTATTTCAGGGGCAGAGGAACGAGGCTGATTTGCACACTGACCGGCATGTATTTACATATGCAAACGAGGCGCAACTTAATATGCAAATGAGGCAGATATGCAAATGAGGAGCACTTGGATACGCAGAAGGAGCCATCGTGGTTTGGTTTTTTTCTGGTGGTTGTTTTCGGGCTTCCACAGGGCCCGCTCTCGGTGACACCCTCTGCAAAGCACCAGCACCTCCAAGAGGCTGCCTCTCGTGGCTGTCTCTGGTGCCAATTTCCACAGAAACCCATCACTCATTGCTTCCAAGCTGTATCATTCCCATCCAGAGGCAGCAGAGAGAACGGCTGACTCCACGCTGAAGTTGTCTGGGATTCCTAATTTCTCTTGGAAACACTCAATGATGAACTCCTCCCCAAACACACACTTAAAAAAAGAAAAAAAAAACAACCCAAAAAAAACAACAACAAAAATGTTGTGTCTCCCCCCTCCCGCCTCCCCCCCCCGCAAAATACAATGAGACTCTGTCCACTTCCCTGACAAAGATCCAATTGGTTTATCCCTACAGCAAATTTAAAAAGCAATGCTAGTTCCCCACCTTCTTGCAGTCAGAGTAGAGGTCATTGCTCCCCTGCCCCAGGTCTGCCAAGTGGCCGTGGTGTTTCCATCTTGGTTCCCTTCACTGGTAAGCAGGGAATAAGGGCCTGGGGGAGGCTTTACAAAATATTAAGAGGAAACAAGAGGGTTGACAGAACAGAGCCATACCAGAAAAAAAATAAGGGAACACAGGACACAGCTTTGGGGAGGAGGCATCTCAACACTCACTCCTGCTCCTGCACCTTTTCCACCTTCCTGATTTGCAAGTGCTGCCAAAACTCATCCTTCAGGATTTACACTAGAGTCCATCATGTCCCCAGCTGAACTGCACGGGGTTCTCCTCACCTTTACACTACACTCTTTGGCTGTTCAGTTTAAAAATCTGCCCCGCTTTGTCCTCTCTCTTCTAATGCACCTCTTACAACAACCACTTGTGAGGGCCTCTCCCAGGTACTTGACCAGAGGGTCCAGCCCCTCGCCCAGAAGTCCCCTAATTCACCTCCACTCTGAGCAGCAGCTTCCTCTTCCCACCATTCGCAAAGTGGGAACCACTGACGGAGAATCTGCATCTACGCAACAAGACTCCCGTTGCTGGCACTCCCAAACCACAGGCAAGGACGGTCTCCACAGAAACGTGAGGGGCAGAGAGCCAAGTAACAACTGAACAAATACAGACGGGAGAAAACTTCCAGATTTGCATATGCAAGTAAGAGCCTCACTACATATTTTGAAGAAGGGCTTGAAGGGGTGGGGGGTGAAATTAAAAGCTCTGGGGAATAGAATTTGCTGAATCACATGTGACACCCCTGACTGCTTCTTTTACCCAACGGGTACATAGGCTTCACCTGGAGACTGCAAAAGGCAGCGTAGAAAATAAGTCAGGATTCCCTCAAAATCTCTCTCAGTCCTCACAGATGGCACTGCATTCTGAAACCCAACTCCTCTGCTGAAACACCATCTCTGCTACATTCTCCTTTCTCCAAACTCAGGTCTACCCTCCCGGCTCAGCTCAGCTCTCCCTACCTCAGGGATTCCCCTCTCCTGGTACCTGGGAACTCCACTTCCTTTCTTGCTCTTCCCGCTGGTGCGAGAAAGTTCACAGAGCTAAGATCACCCCTCCAGTGTCCCTTTAGCCCCCTGACCTTTACAACATTTACGAAACAACATAACTACAGGCTCCCAGGGTCCACTAGTCTCTCTCCCCCCAGTAGCCAATACGACATTCACTGGCCACCTTGAAGGG